GCCCGCCCGCTCACGTGATAACATAATACGTCCCCGTCTTCGACGGGCGTATAAAAACACTTATGTTGGTAACTGCTTGTAAATGACAGAACTGTACTGTTTTTCGTTGTTTCTTTTAACACTTTTATCTCAAATATGATTATGTGTCATATGTAACATAAGTAAATCTGACACGTCTGACGGCGAGGTTTTTAAAATGCCATACAAAAAACTTTATACAAAAAAAATCAATCAGGAATAATATTTCTTCGATAAGATCAAGAAAAGAGATAAATGACACTATGGTATACAGGTTTGCAGTAGTTTATTAAAAAACCTAAATTAATTAGAACTGTATGCAATGATAAATGAAAACATGTAGGAATACCAAGAAACGTTCACAATTACCTGGACATAGGTATATCAAATAAACATAAGCTGTTTTATTAAGTTTGTCAAACTGTGTACATTAACATCTTAATAAATATGTCGAAAAAACAATAAGAGATTACTGAAGTGTCAACAAAATTAATATTCAAAGTCGGCGAAACTAAGGCAAAATATAAACAAAAGAAATTTGTGTATGGACAATCCTGAAATCCTGAAATAAGGAAAAATGACAACACGACAACAGAATATGTTTAAATAAGCATAATTAAAGTGTTTACTTACAGTAACATATCAGCACGGCTATAAGCGTCAGTCCAAGTATGCACTTCTTCCAACATCCTACTGGATGTTCCATATCTAACGTGTTTGTAGTTAGTTAGTTTCAGGTATTACGCTCTTGGGGTGACACAAAACACATAACATAAAGACTACTCTTCGTTTTTTTAACTCCATGAACGCGTATTTGTATGTATGACTGGTTCTTTTACTAATTCATACTCTCCTTTTTTAAATCATAACGTTTCACTTAGATCTACACAATAAAGTGTCTGGACGATAACGTTACCACAAGTCTATAACTACACCTAACTTATTTGGATTACTTCCCCTTGATACCAACTTAAGAACTAGACAAATATCAAAATTGACAAATTGTATCGACGATTGTTCTGCTTAACACCTTTACTGGATACCGTCCGATACCTTGTATTCAGAACTTAACTCTACTCATTTCGCGTATCAGACAGAAAAAGAATAGAAATGTATACCATAAGTTCGACATGCCACGAAACAATGTAAAAACATGGAAATATGAAAGAATAGACAAGAAGTTAACAATGAATGCATTAATAATAGACCGTAGGTAATGTCATTAGAATGAACAACAGATCGTTGGCTACACGATTGCCTTTTCACTACTTTCAGTGTGATATCCCTCAGGGAGACAGACTTTTACTAGAGAACCACCTTGAGGTAAGATAGCCTGCGGGTTTGTTGATACACTCGACAACAGTATAAACCGGCCCGGATAAAATTTGTAAGCAGTCAAGGTAAAAGAAAGAGAAGAATAGGCATTATTTCTCCAACGACATTAATACTTAGCAAACCTTTCATTATTTCAGTTCAATTTTTACCAATAACTGAGAAAACAAAGCCAAGTTCTTCTTTCATCCTTTTCAATAATTAAGTGAAAAAGGTGTAAACATGTATGAATTAGGTTATTCAATTTCATTGCCGTTTGACACATACGAAAAAAGCAATGCCTCCAGTCATTAAGGCGAAGTGTCCACGTAACGTAAACACGTCTCACAGCCTTCTAACAGTTTAATACTCACATTTTGTTAATTGGTATAGAAACTTATTCTGAATCGATTGATAACAAATTATGAAAATCCGTGTCTACCTATATTGACCAGAATTGATTAGCTCTTTTTAAATAAGTTATTTTTCTTTGCATTGTCTATTCATGTAGCTTATTTCTGGGTTTAAAAACCCGCAGGGAAATAGCAATTAACAATAAATCATCAATTTAAGATGTACATTTCAGCTATTGTCTTCTAGATATTTTATCAAAATATTATGTTTAGATCACTTTCGAGTGTTGGTTTAACGTATCATAACATAGCAACTAACGATATATTAACTAGTAAACATACTGATACTAACGTCACCTGACACAATGACAATATGAGAATAAAATCAGCGGAAACAATGAGCTTCTTAGGAATTTATCAATGTTTTTTAGTGTGATAATCGGTTATTATGCTCCTTTAAATCTCGATGGTGATCAAAGCAATAGCTACTGACTGAACGAACCTCGTGTCAGGTTTAATAACTTGTAAAATCGAACACTACTCGTGGGGAAGGGGGAACACTAAATGCTGATTTGAAATTTCTGAATACACTTCTGCAACTAGCTTAATAAGCTCTGTTATATACAATGTCCTCCTATCGACACAGACAGGTGTATATTGTTAGTGACGTCATATATGAATGCGTATGTCTTCTGTCACTGTTAACAATGTTGATGACGTCAACAATCTTGTGACTTGAACTAAGACACCGAAATTATTATTTCTTTTAGAAATAAGCACATGGTATGTTACATGCATATACCTGTATTGGTGGCTTTAAGTTTATGATACTTGGTCTTAAAGACATAATCGCCATTACATTTTATTTATAGTTATAGCAGTATAACGTCTGCATAAAATATATAAATCTCTCGTTTTAGTAATTAGTACACGGTAGTGAAGCATAAGTCTTTTCCTGTATTTTCATTTTGATAAAAATGGAACGCTCATGGAGGAACATGTTACTACATGTATTGTGAATAAGAAGAACAATACTATGTACTAAATATATGTATTGTCCCATTCATGACGGTTAACAATGTACTGTAGTTACAGGAATGCAAATCTGAATTACAACAAAATATTTATTTCGAAACAATTATATATGTTGGTATCCAAATTTGACTCTTCTACAGGTAAATTTAACCTGTCTGAACCCTTTATGTAGCACAGAAGAAACTAGGGTTGAAATGCCCTGAGGCTATGTATTACACAAGATATAGGGACTGATGTCAAAATACATTTACCTCCTAATCAGAGCCCAGGGTCAGAATCTGAGTAAAAGGTATGGGAGAGAGACAAAGCACTGTATACGCAGCAGCTGTAGAAATTATGTTTACTTATTTGACTAAATAACAAATAATATTGATGCTAGTAAGTGTGTAGTTTTCTAGTACGGAGTGAGATGTTATCTAAGTCCGTGTTTCTAGTAAGAAAATATACTTAACTACATGCCTACCATAAAAATAAAATCTCAGAATAAACATAAAAAATGTCTAAAAAATACAGATGTTTAAATTTATTCAAAATAAACACCTGATGGTATTATCAGTCGGCAGGATATGATCATCCATTCAAAGAGTTGTTGATTTGTGCATAAAGAAAACCATAATGATATATAATATATATACATGAGTATGTAATTCTGTTTAAAAAATGATGAATTAACCATAAATGATAGCTGCTCCGAGTCCTTTTTTTGTTAAGCACAGACTGATTTGAGTGTAAGTTTTCAAATATTTTTTTTTATTGATTTAACCTTCTTATAAAACTTCCCGGTTTTTTTCCAGTTGAAAAAAAAACCCTTGTTGCAAAGGACCTTTAAGTTCTTTACTTGTAAAACCTGTGTCCTGTGGCTATTGCGGAACACTGACCTTACAGGTACAAAAGGCTCTATCATGGTTCAGTGAGCCATTAATTGATGCTAGGGTGTGTTTTCAATTAGTGTCGACTATTTATGTAACATCCAACTATTGGAAGGGATTAGGCAGTGTAAAACACTACTATAGAGTCAAAGTCACTGTTTTGAAATAGAATTGTGTCACAAAGGGACAGCAAAAATATCGTACCTGTAAGCATGTACTGATTTACCTGTATATCTACTGGACTTGCTGGATTAATTGACAGGATTAATTGCCGTCACACAAGATGTTCAAGATTGGGTACAGCCCATCAGCATCCCATGAGACCACAGGTAAATGGTCAGTGTATGGTCATTGCTCATATATTCTCAGGTAGATATCGTATTGAAAAGAAAAATTTGTATCAGCGGGTGGTTACTTTGACCTAGCAACCATCTTTAAAACTGCCACTGAAGTGAAGTTGTAACTGTATGATTGAATCATGAGGTTCTTTGTGAAACTGAATCGATTTTATTGTTTATCATTAAATCGATAATTTTATTTCATCTATGTTCATGTATATAACTAAAGCTACATGTTCTTGCACCCTGCAACCATGAATGTTGTCATCATTTTAACAAGTGTCAATTCAGTTCTGTACCACCAGGTCAGCTGTATATTCTATGTTATTGTGGGGAACACAGTAAACCCAGGGGAAGGGGTGGTGGTTGGGGGATGTTTTAAATAATTCAACCACATACAGCATGGACATGTACCTGAAGTGTATACATATATAATAAAGAAGTCGAAAAGTCAGACTTACTCATAGTTCTAAAGAGAAGGGAACTTAAATTAAATACACATATTAAGCTTAAGCTTTACCTCTTATGCCATGCCATGCTATAAGATTTTAATATGAAACATCAGCAGCACTCTCATCTACAATGAGTCACAGTCTTTTCTAATGGGTCCCTTGAAGTAGGCAGTATATTGTAGACTAGTTATCAAAGTTAAAATTTAAAGACTTGATAGGGCCCAACGGCCAGGGTCGACAGGGACAAGAAAGTACATGTATGGCTACTTTTAAAATAAATTCATTACTAATTCGACCGAATACATGAACACATATTCATTTGCCTTTATCTAAAAAGTTGTGTCTTTATTTGTATTTAAGACATCCTTTCTCTGGCTGTGCTTATCTTATACAATTCCTTTTTCTGGTTAATATAAAATTTACAGTTGTTAATGCATTAAATTTCAAATCACATTATTTGTGCATAAAGGTCCGAAAAACAGATCCCTGCTTGATAGATTGATGTTTGGAAATGTTCTACATTTAATAAGATAGTTACATATTTTGTTCAACAATTTTACTGAAGCGAGGTGTTTTTGATATTGGTCTTTAGTATGTAAGTTCTCTCAGTAATCAATAACTCTGACGAATTGCATTAATATTTGCTTATTTAAAGGTGATAGAATTTTACCTTTTTATTGTTCTATCAAAGAACACACTAAAAGAATACCGAGGTGTCAATTCGATAAAACTAAAACAAACTACGAAAAAAGGAAATGTTTACATGGACACCAAGAAAGGGAAAGTTCACGATCGGAAAGTCGAAATTGGTAATTTCTGGCATCGTCACATCTGTGCCAGTTTGAATTTTTCCTTAACTAGTCTAATACGTCTTGTTCAGAAATAACTAAGGGTAGTGACTGCACTAGGTCTGGTGAGAAGGTTTGATGTTATAGATAGATACAAGTTATTAATTAATAGTTACAGCTTCATCGGTTGGTAATTGAATACTTATCCTTTCATTGTGTAGAACAAGTATACTATTTTTTTTCATTATTTTCACTATAAACAGACAATTGTCTACGATTAACTAGATTGACAGGTTTGTTCGAGTACCAGAACCCTAATGACGACATATTCTATATGGTTTTGTCTCAGAGAAACTCTAACAAGTGCTTGGTCTGTAGGGTGTTGAATTACAGATGTATATTCCTCGACTAATACAATGTTTAGGCTATATAATATACTGCAGGAGGAAATTTCCAGTTTCAAAATTTTGATACATCTTCAATAAGTTTGATAAGCTGGCCATGTTAATCTCGTATCTTGTTAGTTTTGTTTGTTTAGACAGCATGATTAACGTGTTGACTTACAGTAACATATCAGCACGGCTATAAACGTCAGTCCAAGTATGCTCTTCTTCCTACATCCTACTGGATGTTCCATATCTAACGTGTTTGTAGACAGTTGGTTGCACTGGAGATGAGAGAAAACACAGAAAGACTATTCTGCGTTTTAATAACTCTCAGAAAACGAATAGAAATACATACTATAAGTTCAACATGCAACGAAACATACGCCAACAGAAAACTAAGAAGCATCAGAGAATAGACGAAAAATTATCAATGAATAAATTATAAATAGACCGTAGATAATATCATTAGAATGAA